AAAAAAACTAAGAACGTAAAGAACCTAATAAAAGCTGAACCGAAAATCACAACCCAGTCCTATTATATTCAATATGATAGTTCACATACAACGTGGATCACAATATCTTAAACACAGTAATAATCGATGAGTTCTGAATTTATTACATTTTCTCAAATTAAGTTAAACCCGCGCCGGTGCGCGGGTCAAGATCTAGTATCTTTTTATTTTAAGTTTATTAAACAAAAGTATACTATGACCACGACAACTTTCATTTTTTATTAAGCTTTGGTCTTCTCTCTCTTCATTTCTTTCTCATTTTCCAGTCGCTGATAAATTCATCAAAACCTATAATTTTCACTTTTAATATTTGATGGAATCTCTTCACCAAACAAAATTAAGATGCATACGATTCCAAAATATGAGATGTAAAAGAGATGCTATGCTAACTCCAAACAATCTATGTTAATAATATCTGAATATTCATGAAAATACGCTAGTGTGGCCTCGATCTCTCGAACCTTACTCCCTCTCGTTCGACCATGGCGCATCCCCACCATATCGTGACCCCACGGTCTCCTCTCGAATTCGTGGCCTTTTTCTTTCTATGGTGATGTAGTCATCGTTCAGTCGAGATGAGATCTTGCCTCACGGTGGTTGTCAGGTCGTCGTGACTCCACGGAAGCATGATTCACCATTGCAGCCCTCTTATCCAACTCGTCTCCGTCTTTTCCATGTTCTCAGCTCTCGCCGCCGTGGCTATGACCGTACATTATTGATCTGACATAGGGATCGAAAACTCAGTCAACAAAGGCCAACTTCTTATAATTGCATCTTTAGTCCCAAACGTTCTTACATTTTTCAGTATGGACCTAAAGTCTTAATCCTCAAAGAATATTTTTCAATTTCCCCTCTAAATTGAAAATTGAGAACTCCAAACCCTATTAATTTTAAATACACAAATGTATGCACTATAACATTGAAATGGATTCTAAAACTGATATATATATAAAACTAAAAACAAAAGTTAAAACTCAATAAAATCATGAGGTATCATCTATCCATAAGTAACTAATGTTATATACATTTTTCAATCTTTCTAGAAAAAAATGTAATTGATTAATTAATTTAGGTCCATATCAAATATATGACTCACATTTGTCGATGTATATGAAAATTATGGGTGTCCATGTGGACACTATATTATGAATAGGTGGTATAAATGATCTAAATTAAGTTCTAAATTTTTATTTTTATCTGTGTGATAAATTGAGCAATATCTAAATGTACACATGTGATTTGTTTTCTTTTTTTTAGAAACTATACTACAAACTATAAATATTATTATCATAACTTGAGCAATATACAAGTAATGTAGTGTACATATTTTCGTAAATTGATACTCCTCTAAGTTGGAAAGCCTACATGTTTAATGTTTATGTACACAAAATAGTGAAATTATCTGGTGTCCATGTATTATTGTACAAGGTAATTAGTGTACATATAAATCATTGTACATATGGATAGTGAAAATTTGATGTACAATGTATAATGTACACAACAAATGGTTTTTCAAGTTATAGTTTCATTTCTTTTGTGCATTTAGTAAAACCTTAGTAATATTGCTCATATCTATATTGCTTTCGCACTCATCAGACATGTATATATTATTTACTTCATTGTCTTAGGCATTGATAAATCCTAATTTCAGTGTGAGAATCTTATCCAAATTATGTCACCATTTTTATGAGATACTTAGATACTTATATTGATCAGTGCACTTATAATTATGATCTTTTCTATCTTGGCTATGAAATTGGATTGAAAGTTTTATCATTTTGGTTGTACGATTGTGTTTCTCTACTATCTTGAGGAAGTGGCTAGCCAAGAACACCCAAAAATAATGATCACACTTCTTCAAAAATCAAGATAAACAAGGTTTGTTTATATGTTGTTGTACACATGTACCTTACCATATTCTATTGTACACATGTACGCCACCAAATTTTAATGTACACATGTACACTAAAATTATGATAGAGATATGCAAAATATCCTTAAGTAAAAAATGTATATTGTACATCTGAGCATTAAACAAATATCACGAGACATTGAACATGATGCTATGTGTATTGAAGATTGTCGATGCTTTTATTATTGAAAAGTCGTATAATCATTAGCTCATCAAATATAAGGTGCACATCTTTAACCTTGAAATGGATTCTAAAACTGATTTATATAAAACTAAAAACAAAAGTTAAAACTCAATAAAATCATGAGATATCATCTATCCATAAGTAACTAATGTTATATATATTTTTCAATCTTTCTGAAAAAAATGTAATTGATTAATTAATTTAGGCCCATATCAAATATATGACTCACATTTGTCGATGTATATGAAAATTATGGGTGTCCATGTGGACACTATATTATGAATAAGTGGTATAAATGATCTAAATGAAGTTTTAAATTTTTGTTTTTATCTATGTGATAAATTGAGCAATATTTAAATGTACACATGTGATTTGTTTTTTTTTTTGAGAAACTACACTAAAAACTATAAAAATTATCATCATAACTTGAGAAATGTACAAGTAATGTAGTGTACATATTTTTCGTAAATTGGTACTCCTCTAAGTTGAAAAGCCTACATGATTAATGTTTATGTACACAAAATAGTGAAATTATCTGGTGTCCATGTATTATTGTACAAGTTAATTAGTGTACATATAAATCATTGTACATATGGATAGTGAAAATTTTATGTACAATGTATAGTGTACACATATTTAATGTTTATGTACACGAAGATAGTGAAATTGTATGAAGTCCATGTATTATCGTACAAATTATTTGTGTACATGTGAATTAATGTACATGTGGATACTAAATATACATGTGAATTAGTGTACATGTGGATACTAAAACACTTGTGTATGTAGCATAGTGTACATATCAAATGGCTTCAAACGTTCTAATTTCGTTTCTTTTGTGTAATTTGAAAACTTTAATAATATGTTTGTGATATTTTTATAGGTGATTACTTATGTTTTGCTTTAAAATATACTGGCTACATCATTAGATTAGTGGACTATGATTCATCAAATGATACTCAGGAAATGGAAAGAGTATTTTGCAAGTTAAGCTAAAAAAAAAATTTGTACCTTGTGTACATGTGAATCATTGTACAAGTTAGATGGTGTACAAGTGAATGATGAACATGTGGATATCGGAATAATTTTGTGTACATAATATCATTACAATAACCTACACAATAAATGAATCATACCAAAGTGTGTGCTTATTTGCATATAACAAAGGTTACAATACACATTAATAAGTTTAGAGCAAAAACAAAGGTCATTTTTTCAAATTCAAAAGTTTGTAGTCAAAAATGAAAAAAATAAAAACATGAAGGACCAAATGTGCAAAAAACAGAAACGTAACCATTGTTGTTCCCAAGCTTTCACTCGGTAGATCTGAGCATGGTGGAAGTGAATCTTCGATGACCAATGAGACAGCGTAGTGGTGCTTTGTTGTAGGAGCTCGCCATCGAGCAATGATAGAGGGTGTAGTCATTTTTTTTTACAACAGCTTCACACATGAAATTTCAAGCAATAACAGAGAGTGTGGCCATTTAGTGCTTACAATATAGATTTGACCCTAATTTAGCGGCTACTGAGGAAGAGATAGACGGTGGTAGGAGAGGTTTGGAGACGATGATAATTTTTTTGTCGTTATAATTTGTTACTAAGCAAATGATGAATTAAATGAAAAAAAAACAAAAACATCTGAGATTACAATTTAGATCTGTAAAAATAATTGTGTGGGAGAAAAAAGAAGAAGAACAACAAGACGAGAAAGAGAAAAATAAAAAATGGATCTTTCTTTGTCAAAACAAGTGGGTCCTAGTAATTTATGATTTAGTTTGGTTTTGGTTAATGAATAATGAGAATAGTTAGAAGAAAGTGTGTCGGTAGTCATAAGTGTCTTACAATGATATTAAATCTCATAAAGTGACTCTCAATGAAAATAACTCTTTACACATCCATGTTATATACTGATTAGGTTGTGGATTGTTATTTTATTTCTTAATGTTGATAATATAAATTGTTTTTTTAATGTAGTATGGAAATGGTTCATAGAACTACAACCATCGCAGTTAACGGTTAGTTTGTCATATTATCATTAGTAATCTGTCACCATCAAACTTCATTATCATATTCTTATGTATAGTTTTTAAATACTTATCAAACGGATTGTTAATCATACTAGTGCCAGACTCAGTCCATAAAACCAAAAATTATAAATAGAAACACAAGTAACTTAAACAAAAAAAAAGTAATTTAAACGGATGGCTTCTCTTCCTGACTTCAGCTTTTCTTCATTTTCTTGTGTGTCTTGTTGTTGTTGATCTCTTTATGTTTGGGTTGTATGAATATTATAGTCACCATGTTTGTAATGTTCTTTTTAAAATTTTGAAAATTATCTTTTTTTTGTTGATTTTGATTTTAAGGGATTGTTTTTGTTTTTTATCTTTTGGCTTTCGTTCTGAGAATTGATATAACTCGCCATGGGTTACTTCAGCAAACATTAACTCGAGGCAATTTAAAATTTAGAGCAGGTAGCAGGAATCGAACACCCAGAGTTGGTTCTGATATTTTGGAGACCTATTGCCATTTTTGTAAAATAATTTTTTGGGGTTTTAAATTTTTTTTTTTGGACTTATACTTATATAATTTTTTTGAAATTTTTGGGAGTCTGTGATGAATGTTTCATTTAACATGTCTCAGGACCGGCCATGTGAACACCTCCTTGGAGAATGATGGACATGGTTCATAACTTCTCCTCATTGTATGGTCCTTGTGTTATATGATTTGTTAATGTAATCTTGTATTAACCCGCGCAAATGGGCCAGTGGTGGGACGATGTCCAGCTGAGAGAGCTTCGGCCTCAATACTCTGGTTTCGAATCCCCCACAGCTGTAAATATTTGCCCAGGCCACGAGGGTATTTACATGGGCTGCTATCGCCTTCCAGACCACTTCGCGTAACCAGGAGCCCTTAAGTGGAGGTTTAAAAATGACATGGGTTTAGGTCCAGTGGGCTAGTCGATCACGCTTAGTGGTGGGAAACGAAGCGAGCCGACGAGTTTTAGGTCTTCGTCATCGGAGATATCAGAGTCGGATGGGCTGGGGAAGCAGCTTTCGATATCGGAATCGAGTCTTCGCCACCAGATTATACGTCTTCGCCACCAGAGATCAATTCCAATATCAAATCGCCTTCGCCTTCGCCGTCGCCTTTGCAGTTTGGTAGAGAAGAGAGAAGCAGAGAGAAAGTTGATACTCGATCGGTCACCGCTTTCATCACCAAACAAAAGCTGCCACGTAACCCAAGGGACGAAAGAAAATGTCCCTTAGCTAAGGTCCGTTTACTTCGTCCCATAGCAATTTTCATTTATTTTTGATCCAAAAAATACTAAGGGCCGGCCCAAGGGACGCCCGATAACCTTGCTCTTAGTTCTCTTTGGACGGTCAACAACACAAAAGAATAATGGGACCAGAAACTGAAAGTCCCATCCATTATACAGTACATTACTCGGAATAAACCATAACATAATCCGACTTTGATTCTCCTTGATAATTCCGTTTTATTTGCGTCACAGACCAAATAAAATTAAATGGGCTTTAAACAGGCCCATATATCAAAACCTCGGAAGGATTTAAGTTTATTATCATTACACGACCAACATTTGAAGACACAAACAGCTCCTTCTCATAAGTGGGCTCTTTCTGTCTGCTTCCATCCCTGCAGATTTCGAAATCGTACTTCTTCTTTTTCCCCAGAAATCTTCTCACACTTTCTCCGCAAATTTCCCGGAAAAAAGCTCTCAGGTATCACTACCCCTTCCTCCTCCCCATTAAAGCTTCTCTCTTTACCAACAAAAAGTCGTAATCTTTCGATCTAATTGAGGATTCAACTCTCATCGTTTAAGTGTTTAAGTGTTTAAGTCTTTCGAATCATTCTATTTGCATAAAGTTTATCTCTTTTTTTTGCAGCTGAAACTAGTTTCTAGATTTGTAAGCTTATATATGTAAAATTGGGGAAATAGTTGTGACCGTTGGGCAAAGACTTGAATCTTTTGTGTCTGTAAATGTCATTACTTTGTTTCAGAGCTCTAAATAAAGTGTAATGCTTTTTTTTTTATATGGAAAGGGTGTGTGTGTAACGGTAACAGATGGTAAAGAAAAAAGATGTGGATTACTATTGTGGGTTTTCGAGGAAAGGGCTTCAGAGTTTGTGCAAGCAGTATAGTTTGCCTGCCAATAGATCAAGCTTGGATATGGCTGAATCATTAGCTTCTTTTTTCGAGGTAGTTTAATTTTACAGAAGCTATATTATGGTTTCAAGATAATCTGGTATCATTAATGTGCATCTTTATGCATTTTTGGTAGATAATTAATATGGTCACATCTTTATGCTTATGTTTTTCCTTGTTTTAGCACCTAATCATGTGTTGTTGTGTCTAATAATTTGCAGAAAAATAGTTTAGGTTTTGGCGTCCCTAGGATTCAAGATGGTATAGCTACAACTTCGACAGCACCATGGGGTGTGAAAAGAGGTTTGATGAATTTTTATTTGTTGCTTTATGTTTTCTCTTGTATCATTTTATTAAGACTGCATAAATTTTCTTGCAGATTCTTATGGTAACGAATTGAATATAGCCAGAGAGGGTTGTTTTCAAAGTAGAGTGGCTAGAGGACCAGGCTTTATCCTTGGGGATAGTACACAGTCTCAGGTTCGATTCACCTTTTTTAGAAAATGTACATGCCCATGAAACTGAGGTCTGCTTACAATCTCTTGGATGAATAAACCTAGTTTTCATTTGTTGGTTTTCTTCAAAAGACTTTATAAAATGCGTACAGGACTCATATCGTTAGACTTTAGTAGTATAGTTTCTAAAAGCAAAGAGATGTATTGATTTAGTTGCATAAATGTTTTGTCATTTCTAGTTTCTACTGTTCTGCATTCCTTAACTCTCTGCCACTCTTTTGCTTGCCAAAAGTTGAAATGTTTCTTAAACGTATTCTGTGGGAATGCAGGAGCGAAATGGTGGTTTGAAATTGAATGAAAAGGGTCCCATTCCAATGGATCCTCAGCTAGAAAATAGAATGAAAGAGGTAGAGAGTGGTGATAGTCCTAGTTCGTCTTCGTTTGAGTTTCATGTCAGTATGGAAGAGGGTATTAGCCTCTCAGTTGATCTAAATTTCAATCCATCAGACTGGGTTAACAGCATGAGAAATGAGGTCAATGTATATGATAGCATGCGTCCAAGGAAACCCCCACATTCTGATCTTGGTATTGATAATGTTACAACGTCTAAGAAACAAAAGAGTTCAGAACAAGACAAGGATGAGCATGTAAGGAGAGAATCATCTACAAGTCCGACAGTGAAAGAAAATACTCAAGTATCCTCTGATCATCATTCCAATGCTGAACGGTCTCTACCATCATCTGCTATACAACCATGTCTGGTTAACGGGGTTAACTTGTCCGTACCTGATTCTTCAGGACCTGGCCAGATTGTATCATCTTGTGCTGAATCCTGTAGCAAAAGCTGCTGTGTGAATCCAGTTGACTTGGAATGTGTTGATCCACCTGGGAAGAAGTTGACAAGTGACTCTGTCATGGTTGCTGCAGAACAGAATCATCAAGCTGGTGATCTCCTTGTTGAAAATCCCCAAAATCCATCCATGGAGAGTTTTCAAAAAGTGGGAAACTCAAGTACTGTTCTATGTCCACGGGGAGCTGGTTCTGAATTATCATCATCAGAAGCAGAGGCTTATCCCTCACACGCAATGTGTTCTCCTCGCAAGACCAGTATGTCCTCAAATATTTCTTCTTCAGAGCTCATCATCGATAGAGACTCCACTAGTTATTCTGAATCATTCAAGTTCCGGTACAATGGAGTCAAGAACTGTCTGCCACCAGATAGTGAAGAGCAGGTGAAACATCTATTTCTAATCTATTTGCTACAAGCAATAGACAACCTAGTTACCTTATCCTTTGTGTTGTTTCTTCTTCCACAGGAAAAAAGCGAAGTTTTCAGTGAGCAGGCCAGGTTAGAGTGACTTATTTGGATGGTGAAGCATCCACTGTATTGTATAATACCTGATGTAGAGATAGTCAAGATGGCCTTTTCCTCTGACCAAGTGGTTTCTACTGCTGTTTTTTTTTTGAGGTATGATGTTGTGCTCTCTCTATATGTTATATGAATGACAGAACAAAAAAAGTATGATGTTATATGAAATGTATTTGTTTTTGGTTGTTGGCTTACAATTAGGCCATCAAGTATATGGAGATTCCTTCGAGAGCTTTGGGTCGAATATTACTGAAGGTTTTTGCAAATGACCTAGGGAGAAGTTAGTTTTAGGTCAGTATGTGATTCTCTTTGGTTTCGTCCTTTTCGATTTTCGAGGTTGAAAACACAATTCTATGTTTGTTATACACATCATTCACAGACCATGTTGTTGAATAGAAGCAAAGTTCTGAGTGTTCTGACTATAAGGGAATGAAACATATGAGGATTGTATAACCACAAAGTTGTGAAGAGCAAAGCTTCTATTCACACCAGATGAAGAGTATCATCTTGGATTGAATGTTGATAAGTTAGTTAAGGAGATACATTTTCAACAGAGTCTCTGAGACTCTGTGTGCGCAATGTCTTTTTATATGGCTTGTTTTGTTAGCGTGTGAGTAGCACGTGACTGGCTAGTGTCAAATTCTCATCCATTGGATCTGAACCGAATAGTTAGTTGAGTTTATGATCTTACAATCAGTAAAGGTATAACGTCAACATCAAAATTCAACGTTCAGAAACATATAGCAACTTAAGAAACACAAAGAGAGTCTTATTGTGTGTGTTTGAAACATTGAGTCTGAAAAGATGACAAAACATTTCTTTGGGGAGGCACAAGGAGATGTGAAGGAAGAAGACAAAAGAGGATGTTTGGGTCTCGCGTCTCGAGAGACCAGAGTTGAACATCAGTATGTGCATGAAAACTCACAAAACACCATTTACTATTTGTATATAATATAAAGTTTAGAGACTTTCATCTATGTTTTGGTTTGCTCGAAACCAAACACCAACGGCAACGGCGCAAGTAAACAACTCATTGATTGGTGTGTTTAACTCCAATGTGGCAATAGAGATGGAAACATGATACAAAGCTTTTGGGGGTTGATTGCACAAATTTAGGAAACAACGGGGGAATATTTAGAATAAAGAAAGAAAGACAGAGAAAGCAGAAGAGAAAGTTTGGTAACAATAACTCACCATATTAAATAGCTTCACCTACATTTGCCAGTACTCAGAAGAAGCAGCTTTGGTCCGCATTTAATGCTCTGCCTTCTCAGTACTACAGGACACACTCTGATAGACCCTCCATGACTCTCTCTCTCTTCCTATCTGGAGTTCTCAAGATTTCCATGAGCTAGTAGTCCTGAGTGTATAACTCTAGCTCATACTTTCATCATCCAATATCTTTCTCTCTCTACACTTATTTAGTCGGCAACAAAAAAAAACAAGAAACCCAGTTGTAGAATCTTACTTGGAGAGGTGCTTCTTTCTAATCGTGGAAATTTAGGAGTTTAAATGCTCTTCTTTAAGGATGCTATGATGTTATTACCTTGCGCTCTTTGATCTGAATAGGGTAAGTGTTTTTGTTTTTTTGTTGCAGAGGAATAGAGAGACAAGAGGTTGACATTTTTGTCCGAATTTCCCACTTCAAGTTTGTTTTCCTGAATCTTTGGAGACTTGTCTTGTCATGTCTCGGTTGCTTCTCTGACACTAGTTCACCTCTCATTGCTTGAAATCTCAATTCTCTTAGGGTGTTGCATGCTTCTTTGATTGAAGTAAAGAAAGGTCTCTCAGCTATGTGGAGGTTCTGCTGTATACTCAATCTACGGAATGTCTCAGAAAGTGAAGAGAGTAACTAAGAAGCGTATGAGTTGACTTTTTTCTGAGTGTAGGATGAGAATGTTTGAAAGGAGAGCAAGGGAATGGGATCTCCTTGCAAAGCTTGTGTTTCTCACTAATCTATGGCAGCTTGTTTCATCTCTTGGCTCAATGTCTTCAATTGCAATCTCATATGGAGAAGGTGGTTCTGTGTTCTGTGGTCTGAAATCTGATGGGTCTCATCTTGTGGGTTGCTATGGATCCAACGCAGCGATCCTCTATGGAACTCCTGCTCATTTCCAGTTCATTGGTTTAACTGGTGGAGATGGGTTTATGTGTGGGCTTCTGATGCAGTCTCATCAGCCTTATTGTTGGGGAAACAGTGGGTTTATTCAAATGGGAGTTCCTCAGCCAATGATCAAAGGAGCTGAGTACTTAGAACTTAGTGCTGGAGATTACCATCTCTGTGGTTTGAGGAAGCCAAGACAAAAGAGTAGCAACATTGGTTCTTCTTCCCTTGTTGATTGTTGGGGATACAATATGACCAGAAACTTTGTCTTTGATAAGCAGATTCATTCACTCTCTGCTGGCTCTGAGTTCAACTGTGGGCTGTCATCTAAGGACAAGTCTGTTTTCTGTTGGGGAGATGAGAATAGCAGCCAAGTAATCAGTTTAATCCCAAAGGAAACAAAGTTTCAGAAGATTGCAGCTGGTGGATACCATGTCTGTGGCATTCTAGACGGATTAAACTCCAAAGTGCTCTGTTGGGGAAAGAGCTTAGAGTTTGAAGAAGAGATCTCAGGGAACTCAACTGCAGCAGACAAGATTCTTGACTTACCACCAAAAGAGCCACTCTTAACAGTGGTTGGTGGGAAGTTTTATGCTTGTGGAATCAAACGGTATGATCATAGTGCGGTGTGTTGGGGTTTCTTTGTGAATAGGAGTACAACTCCTCCTAAAGGTATGGGATTTTATGATCTTGCAGCAGGGAACTACTTCACTTGTGGAGTTCCAACAGGGAACTCAATGCCGCCGGTTTGTTGGGGTCTTGGTTTCCCTGCTTCTATCCCTTTAGCTGTCTCACCAGGTCTCTGCAGAGAAGCTCCTTGCCCTCCAGGAAGTCATGTACTCGGTGGCCCTTGCAAATCTCCTGGCTCTCATGTTTGCTTGCCGTGTGGTACCAGTTGCCCTCCTGAGATGTATCAGAAGAGTGAATGCACAGAGAGATCTGATCAGATTTGTGTTTACAATTGCTCAAGCTGCGTCTCTCCTGACTGTTCCTCAAACTGTTCTTCTTCCACTCCATTGACTAGTGAGGGCAAATCAAGAGGGAAGTTTTGGTCAATGCAGTTACCTATTGCAACTGCAGAGATTGGCTTTGCGCTGCTTTTGGTAGCAGTTGTCTCCACATCAGCTGTTTTATACGTTCGGTATAGGTTGAGGCATTGTAGGTGCTCAGAGAGTGACGCAAGGTCTTCTAAAGATTCAGCATTCACTAAAGATAATAACCGTCCAGATCTTGATAAGCTGCAAAAGCGGAGAAGGGCTAGAGTGTTCACTTACGAGGAGCTGGAGAAAGCAGCTGAAGGGTTCAAAGAAGAGTCAATAGTAGGGAAAGGGAGCTTCTCATGTGTCTACAAAGGAGTGCTGAGAGATGGAACCACTGTTGCTGTGAAGAAAGCGATAATGTCATCTGATAAACAGAAGAACTCAAATGAGTTTCGCACGGAGCTTGATCTGTTGTCAAGACTCAACCATGCTCATCTCCTTAGCCTTCTTGGTTACTGCGAAGAAGGAGGAGAGAGGCTTCTTGTTTACGAGTTTATGGCACATGGATCTCTCTATAACCATCTTCATGGTAAGAACAAGGCATTGAAAGAGCAGCTAGATTGGGTTAAACGAGTCACCATTGCTGTCCAAGCAGCTAGAGGAATCGAGTACTTGCATGGCTACGCTTGTCCTCCTGTCATTCACCGTGATATTAAGTCATCAAACATACTTATAGATGAAGAACACAACGCTAGAGTAGCTGACTTTGGTCTCTCCTTGCTCGGTCCTGTTGATAGTGGCGCTCCTTTAGCAGAGCTACCAGCAGGCACTCTTGGCTACCTTGATCCTGAGTACTATAGACTACACTATCTCACAACCAAGTCTGATGTCTACAGCTTTGGAGTCTTGCTTCTTGAGATCCTAAGTGGAAGAAAAGCTATTGACATGCACTATGAAGAAGGGAACATAGTAGAATGGGCGGTTCCTCTGATCAAAGCTGGAGATATTACATCAATCTTGGATCCGGTCTTGAAACAACCAACTGAGATAGAAGCTCTGAGAAGAATAGTCAGTGTGGCTTGCAAATGCGTGAGGATGAGAGGCAAAGACAGACCATCAATGGATAAAGTGACAACATCATTGGAGAGAGCACTCGCGCAGCTGATGGGAAACCCGAGCAGTGAGCAGCCGATATTACCAACAGAAGTAGTTCTTGGTAGCAGCAGAATGCACAAGAAGTCATGGAGGATTGGTTCAGAGAACACTGAGTTTAGAGGCGGGTCGTGGATAACTTTCCCTAGCGTGACATCATCTCAGAGGAGGAAATCTTCAGCGTCTGAAGAAGATGTGGTGGATGTGGAAGATGAAGGAAGGAAGCAACAAGAGGCGTTGAGGAGTCTTGAAGAGGAGATAGGACCAGCTTCTCCTGGACAGAGCTTGTTCCTGCATCATAATTTCTGAAAAGAAATGAAAAGAAGTCTTCTCTCGTCGTGACATATATAACTTAATCACTCTGATGTATGCATGAATGTAACAATGAGAGAGACTCTTTAAGGAATGTTTTGAAGTTTTTTCTTACTAATTATATCACCGAAGTTCTTTTGTATATGGCCGTGATGATTACAGCAAGTTAAAGATTTGGATCTCTGTCTGAACATTTTCTTACTTTAAATATTTTGTAAGAGAATAAAACAACTAACCGACACCAATATATACAAGATGGTGAATGCATCAAAAACTGTGATCTGAGTGTAAATAATTTTTTCATCAAGCAAAAGTGAAAACAAAAGTTAGATCTTTCTTTACTCTCTTTAGCTCCAAACGGAGGGGTTTCTAAACTGAACAGCCATTGCAGCCAGCAGGAATCTAACAAGTTCTTCTCTTTGTACCACTTTCTCCTTCTTCAACTCAAGGTGCCTAACCTGCAAAACGCAAATGTCCAGAGACGTTGTCACAAGTTTCTTCTAAGTCAATAATAGCAGACTGTTTACTAAGACTTAATAACAGGTCGTGTTCTTTTTTTTTTTGTTTTTTACCTTTACAAACTCTATTTGATTTTGAGTCACACCAGGCTCTGTGATAATCACTAGACATTTAATTTCATGTTCGTTTGCATATTCATACTGCTCTGTAAGACTTGGGTCAGGTGTTGGAACAAACTCAGCCTGCCAAAACATATATACAGACACATGATTAGATGTTAAAACAAACGATGTCACCAATCAGATATAATGAAAAGACAAAACATTCAAGCTTTTTACCTTTATACTTTTTTCCCATAGTTCAGCAACTAGTTCCATGCGCTGGACCAGTAAACCGCCACCTCCTTTTGAACAAACAAGTACACTGGTGTTGACTTCATTTCTGCAGCTCAATACAGATTATGGATGAGTCAGGTTCTTTCATTCTAGATAATGAAAAGAGATGAAGAAAGTAACAACGCACCTAACAGGCCTTAGATCCATAGGAAGATGCTGAAATATCGTCTCCAACGCAAGACTGACGCCAACAGCACCAGGGGGATTCATTTTCTGGATGCAGTAACAAAGACCCAAAACATACATGTCAATAAACTGTTTTATCATTTCATAATGATACCTTGACAAACGTCTAGGTCCTTTGTTCAAAAAACTTAAGCATCTTATAAGTAATCATAATCAATGCTAGGTATCCTAACATATCTTCATGCAAGATAAACGTACTTCGAAAGAACTTACATGTTCACGATCACACACTTGATGAACCAAATAATCATAGCGACCACCAACAGCAAGTAAAACACCATCATGAGATGTCCCAGTGCTATTTTCTTTGGTTAAGAAAACCTGGCAAAACATTGTATTAGTTCCAGAGTTAGAAGCACTTAGAAGGATATTTAATTGTATCTACCAAGTTACAAACGTGTTCACTATGATACTGATAAACAGAGGTTTGCTCTTATAATATTAGACAAACATTCAAAAGCTACATTATCTTTCTCTTGTACCTGAAAGAACAAATTCCGGTGATAACTTTCGGTAGGTGGCATCAGAGGATCAATATGAACATGCTCTTCTATTCTCCAGACTCTTAAGTAGGTTAAGAGGTTTGACAACTCATCAAGTGCCTTGCGTGTAGGTCTATCTGCAGCGAAGTGAAACCAATAATATAATCAGGTACACAAATTTAGAGGAAGTCAGAGGTTAAGATCGTACCAGCACGAAGAGCCCCCCTTAAACGTGGAAGTGCTTGATCTGCAGCTCCACAAAACCTTGATGCAACAGTCTGCAGCCTATTGACAACTGCTTCAGGTAACTTCAACTCCTGGCAAGCAGGAAATCTCGAGTAAGACACAGAAAACTATAATTCTGATTTGTGATATGTGACATGTTACTATGATTATCAAACCTGCAGAAGTTGACGCCTTATGAAAACCCATTTTAGCTTCCTCTCAGATGACTGAGGACGTAAGGATCCCATCATGGAAAGAAGCTTCAGAACAGGAAAAAGAAATGGTTAGGACCCTGACAAAAAAGCCATTGAAACATGAGCCTTATCCTTGAACTAACAATAACCATACCTCTGCAACCTTTCGCCTATGCTCTGCCTTAATCCCTGCCCATGACCAAATTGCATCCAACAAATCTCCATGATTCAAATGAATATCACAAGATCCACGATGAAAGATGTGGGTCGTGATATCCACTACCACCTGCAAAGTTGGTAGACTATAATGGTGTGGGAAATGTCAGCTATCTATATGTTTTGATATTTGATAAGGAAACTCGAACCTTGAGAATTTCTGCCTCTGTCAGAGATGTTGCACCTCCAACAATGTCAAAGTCCGCCTATTAACAATCAAACATCAAAAGATTTGTAGGCAAATGCTCCTTATCACAGAGAAACTAAAAAGGTAAAAATGGGAAAAGAAGTGACCGAGCACGTACCTGAAGACAAGGATTTGGTGGAGAGTGGCCAATTGCTCTCCTGTAGACATGAGATATCTCATAACGCTTGAATGAGAATTTCTGCATTCCGAAATTGAGGTATGTCAGTACGTGTGCTAACAAAAACAAAGTCTCTTGTAAACTAGCATTCAAGATTTAAACATCTTTACAATTTGGGATCATGCTGAGCACTTAAATCTTATAGGAAAAAAACACACAAGCAACATTAGAACCATATAAAGAACAAAACTGGACCTGATTTGCGCTAATCCAATGCACAAAAGGCAGTCGTAGCTCATAGCATAGTTCAAGCATATCACCTCCATTGCTCAATAGTTTTACAGTTTTCCTTCCGAGGTAAAAAAAGTTGATCAAAAATCTAATTTGGGTGACAAATAATGGAAAGTAGTAAGTAAGAAGTATACCTGCTATATTGGGGGCAATCACTAAGCAAACGCATTGGGATGACCTCTAGATGTTTCGCACAATGCTGCCTAAAGACTTCCTTTGTGATTTCAACAACATAATCACGAAGCTCGGTATCCATCTCAGTGTATTGAACATAACTATCATCTGCACAAACTCTTGATCCACTAGACTGATGGCACTTCGTCTCCAATACTTCTTCATCAAATATCACATTTACTACTCTATCATAAACACTTGAATCTTCAGAAGTTTGCATTATTCTTAGGATATCTGAAATGCAAAAAAGAATGGGTTACTTGATGTTGATGCCCATCCAAAGAAGACCAAGTAAAGGATACCACTATGAGGTCAATAAAAAACAGAACACACACTACTTACATTGACTAGACCTAGAAATCAAAGACTATGATGTAATAGAAAAATAACATATAAACTGGTGGCAGTAGAGAACTCACTGTCCAGTAACTCAGATTCCATTCTGGGAGGAAATGCGTGCCGAAGAAGTTCTGTAGCTGAGGGGCGATTAGATGGACTTGGAGAAAGCAAACGTCGCAGTAGAGAAGCCTGTTCGGGAAACTCATTTATCCATTTGAGAGGTAGTTCTCCTTTCAGCTTTAAATTAGTTAAAGTAACGTGCCTCTCCATGGCGGTTCCAAAAGGGTGCCAAAGTTCAAAAAACACAACCCCTAAGCTATACATGTCAGCCTGTAATCCGAAAATATCAGTTAGAAACAAATGAGTAGCAAAAGGAAAAAACATATTCAAACATTTCTTGGATGAAATCAGTTAAAACCCTAACAACTACTAACCTTTTCATCAATCTTAGGCCAACTTTGTTCAATTTCAGGTGCTGTGTAAAAGTAAGTACCGGCTTGACCAGTACTATCAACTCCGCTTCCAGCCACATCCGTAGAGAAGCCCCCATCTTGATCCAACTGTTCGAGCTTCAAGAACTTTGCTGACAAGGTTAAAAATGCATGTATTATTCTGTTTTCCATATTACAGTCTAATAATCACAATGTAATGAGAAGCCTAAGTTGATTCGCTATATCCAAGACTTGATCAGTATAGTTTCGTAAGTCTAATATGTTCACTACTTAAGATGGTAGAACACAAAGTATGGCATGGCAGGAACCTGCTTTCGTTACACTATTAGAGAGCTAAAAACTAACACAGAGACGCACGTGACCACAAACATAAAGCAAAGAAAGCATTAAGCATGGAAGCATACCAAGCCCAAAATCCCCAATTTTGACATCATTCCGGGCGTCAAAGAAAATGTTGTTAGGTGTAAAATCTCGATGAATTATTCCTTGTCCATGGATATGAGCTAAGCCTTCCACAATTTGGCGGATTAAATGCCATGCAAAATCTTTGTCGAAGTGATTATATGATTCAAAAACCTGCCGGAGAGTCCTTGAGCATAATATGAAACAAGAAAAGTAAGAAGAAAATATACAAACTCGGAACAAAATTTTAGACTACAGAAAATAATAGCATTGATAAATATACTGATCCGCAAACTGATTTCACAGAATTATTATACATTTTTCATTAAATATGTAACTGAGTAAGCATAGACAATAAGGAATTTAGAAATAGGATACGGATGGGATAAAACCATAAGAGTTTATATTGAGATTTAAAACCATCTACCTGGGACAATACTCCATCTGAATATATAGATAAGTAGACTCAAGCTTATTGTCCTGCTCAGGAATTTCAGTTGACACCGCACCTGAGTAGCTGAACATTGAACTCCCAACAGTTTTTGATCCCCAATTTGCGCCAGCATAAGGATCAGCAACCCCTGATTCGAACCAAGCCTATTTCCATGACATATAGAATTAGTATCAAACAGAACATAGGCAATGAACATAGCACTATGACAGTAGCAGAAACTCCATAACACAGATGCTCGAACAATGAATATTGCGGTGAAATAAGGATACACATGGCTAATGTCCAATATGCACACATCTCACTGAGTGTAGTCATTGATCAGTAAAAAAAGTTAGGATGAGCGTAGAGGACCTTTACCTGATAGTAACGTACCACATGTTGATGCTGTAAGCGGGAAAGTGTTGCGACTTCTCTGTGTAGCTCAAACAAGCAGATACAAAAACAAATTTAGCACCATAGTCTAAACCATCCAATAAAAGGTGTACAATGCTCACGAGATGCAACATCAATAATAGCCTCTAGTAGAGTTTTAAAGCCAATGCCATAAAGCCTGGTTTGCACCATATGTAGTTGCAAGCAAACAAAGCTTGCAGCATATATAGTTGCAATCAAACGAAGTTTGCAGCAAAAGAGAGATACTCTGATGAAGAACATGTCAATCCTCATATCTCTTACATTAGTTAAAAGATATAGATTCCAAGAAGCCTTTAACAGATGGCATAATATTTAGCTAATGTAACACATAAAAGATGGTACATAGACCTTCGAATTGCTTTATGTAAATATTTTTGTCTAAGAAAAGTGAATATACTCACTATGAGCAATTTTTCCCCTTACCGAACTATCCGGTTGTCCGCAGGTATCTCTTTGTCCTTAAGTCGAATTTTCTTCACTGCATATTGTCTTCCATCCAGTTTATTTTTACACAACACAACATGACCGAAACCACCTTGGCCTGCCAATAAAGTATTTCCGCAGAAAGCAAGAAGAAAAATATTTACTCTAAACAAAATTGGATAACAAATAAAAATGTTCAGATAGTGAACATAATCCTAGCAAAGACTATTTGATGTAGAAATTAAGACATAACTGTCTAATAATTAAAGAAGAGCATAACTGAGATTATACCAAGGGGTTTCAACTCTTCAAAATCATTAAGGTACCGCGAGCTTGGAAGTGACGCATTTGCCTTGCCAAGATCAGAAGGCTGCTCCCAAAACTCAGGAACTTGGGTTGCGGCCTAAAATATAACGTCAATGGGATGCATTATTTGATATTCAAATTAATAAATAGTAATCAATAAGTGTACCAAAGTAACGCACCATGTTTTGATTGAATACATCTTCAAAAGTTTTATTGAAGTCTGGAGATGACTTGGAAGCTAAATCTAACACCCCTTCAGACAATATCTGATGTTTTTCAAGAAAACACTACAACCATTTAACGTGATTTGAAGGAACAGAAATAGACTGTTACTTACAAAATGAAACCAATATTGAAAACTGATAACTGAAAGTTCAAATTAATGTAACAGACTTACACCAAGCTGATGCAGTTCATCGGTTATCTGAGGCAATGCATCAGCCAAAGGCCCTTTGGAAGAGCATGCAACGCGTAGTAGATGGACCTGTTAAATATTATAACAAGACGCTAAGATCAAAGCTACATTGATATTCAATAAATACAGAGATAAAGGAAAAACAAGATTACCATTAATAGGTCTTGCTTGCTAATTTGAGGCACTTGATCTTCAGTTGAGGAAGCAGAAGACCATGACTCCGATTCACTTTCGGATTGATCGTTGTCACCTTCAGTTGTGTCATCTTGAAGATTTGATTTGAATAATGATTTCTAGAAATGAAACACTTCCATTAGACTATTTCAAAGTAGTGTCTCATAGGTAAACGGTTTCCACTCACCTTCTTCACATTCTGGAAAAATCCATCTTCAGTAGAGCTACTTGAGTTGAAAGAAGAAGTGCTTGTATCATCAACATCATCCCCTTGAAGAGTATTTGGTTTCGCAATAGGAGAAGGCAATGCAACTTCTTCTTTAGCCTGGTTTTCAGATCGCTTCAGACTCTTATCTGGCTTCTCATGCAAAATTCTTGAAGTTTCTAATGGGGGTGGTTGTACTGCAGAAACGACTCCTCTATTTTCATCAAGATTAAGACTCCAATTCCTTGAATCTTCCAATCCACTAAACAGGTCGATAAAACCATATACAAAAGGTCCAGTAGAAGAGGGTTTTGCTTTAGGCACAGCTTCCTCAATGAACTGAGCGCCTGGATGTGCAGTCAAGCTTGGAACCTTCAGAAGAAATAATGACAATAAATTTACAAGAACGACCAATGCAAACACAAACGAGATGCAGTAAATTTTATTCTGCACCATCAGTAGAACCCCATAGACAATGATACAGTGAATAAATTACCGTAGCATAAACAATAACTTGGGTGTGAATATACTTACAGATTCCACATCATGACTATCAGGAATTATTTCCGATAAAAACTCTTGAGCAGCCTCCACCAAGTTGAATATCATAACCCGACCTTCACGAGCATTGGAACTTGCCTACACATAAATAAACATATTTTTGAGTATCTTATGTCAGCAGAGAGCACTTCTGACTAAAAATCATTGCTCATAGAGTTCATAGTCCAAATCTGAAACTGCTATGCATAATTACGAAAATATCTTGATTAGCACAAACCTGGTCCTGAAGAAGAGACAGAAGCTTCTCCGCATCAGCTGTTGTCAACCCTTGTTCCGGAGTAATCTGCAGCTTCGGAGACTTGTAAGGATACCCTGGTAAGCATCTACAAAGGAAAATCTAGTTAAAAACAACAATTTAACCATGTCAAAGATTCAGAGACAAGACACACACCTAACTAAAAGCGTGGCGGAGATGTCAGTGTCCTCGTACCCCATATCTTTCGAGTAAGGCCTACTCTCGAATAACAATGAAATGAGCAAACCAGAAGAAACATCACAGGAGCACGTAAACTTTGGATGCATACCTGAGTTTAATAACTATTTGAGGAGGCGAACTTGAACTATAAGAAGAAGAGATAACTTTGCAGTCTTCTTGAAATATCGCAGACCTGAAAAAAAAAAAAATTCAAATTTATCACATTGCTTTGATTTTTTTTTTTTTTTAACACAATCACATTGCTTTGATAAAATCTCGATTTTTTGAAGACGAAACTAAAAAAAAAAGAGATGAAGTTTTTATACAGAGCAGTGATTTCTTCGGAGAGAAGTTCGTTGTCTTCGTCATCGTTAGATCCATGGTCTTTTAGCTGACCTCTTCTTCCTCCTCCTCCTCCTCGTTTCTTCTTCTTCTTATTCGTGCTCCGTCCCATTCGTTAAACCCTAAAATTTCAATCGAAAACCTCTTCTCTCCTCCGTAAAACCTCTTTTTCCTCTCTCTCTCTAAGAACTGTCGTTAAACAATAATCTCTATCGATCTAAGAATTTCAAAATTACGGATTAATCCCTCTCTCTCAATTTATATAAATGATTCAGAAAAAAATTATTTTTGATGGATTAGTTTATATGAGTCTTAAGCAATGATGACGAGAAGCATCGGCTGCTGCTCTTGAAAGATGGCGCCAGTGTACATCTCTTTTCTTTCTTTCTTTCTCCAGCTAAGTCCCACCTCTAAACGGCGGTGAAAGTTCCGACTCAATTAAGATAATGGGCCTCACTATTATTAAGGTACTAATTTATTTTAGGCCCATTAAGCGTTACAGCTATCTGTGTGGGTACACTCCATGGCGTGGGAAATAGCTTTCAGACCATCACATGTGATGTAATGTAATGTATGACTGTTTATTTGCATTTAAACTAATTTAAAACTTTATATGCATTTAATTAGTATTTATATTTTATTTTTTTTAAGCAAAAATAAAATTTTCTAATAAATCTGATGATTAAATAAAAAAAACTTGAATTCAAATTCATAAACTATAGAAACAACAACAAGTGATTTAAATTTAAATTTTAAAAATCATATAGATCAGACTCAACAAAAGAGGAAGAAGCAGTAGTATTTTCTTTTTTTTCACATAAATCAGTCAGATAGAGTGTTAAATTTCTAAATCCATAAAAATATATAAATTAATAGTTCTAGTTGTATTTATGAGATCACAATACTTTTCATTCAATAACAAAAAAATGAGAAAAATGTGACGTTTAAATCAAATCTATCATTGAAAAGTACTTTAGAAAACTAGTAGGAAAAACTGTTATATAATCTGTTTTCTCACAAAAAAAAATTAGAAATGCAAATGAAAGTAGGAAAATATGGCTATATGGCCTTACAAAAAACATTAATTCACTCAGTAGTTAAAATCACTCTCTCTCTCTTATTTTTTCTTTCTATCTCTCTCTAACTTCTGTCTAAAAATCTAATTTCTTTTTTTTTTCTTGGCCATTTCACAAATAAGCCCATGAAAGTATAGAGAAAACAGAGAATCAAACCTGACCCAAAAGTAACCAATCAGAATCCACCCCGCCTAGTCTTCCCTGATTTTCCCCCACCTTATCCCTCTCTCTCTCTCACTCTTCTTTAAACTCTCCACCTTCACTCTCTCTACCTTCCCTGACGTGACCTCTCTCTCTCAATGGCCACCACAAACTCTCTCCACCACCACCACTCCTCCTCCTCTTACCACCGTCTCAATCTCCTTCCCCAATCTCACGTCCTACCATCCTCCCTCTCCCTCAAACACCCCACCGCCACATTCTCACCACTCACCTCCTCCTCCTCCACCATCATCTCCGCTTCTCTCACCACACAAACCACCACAGACTTCGACCTCCTATCCACCCATCTCACAAACCAAGACTTCCGCAAAGCAGACGAGGAAACACGCCGCCTACTCATCCAAATCTCCGGAGACCCCGCCACAAAACGCGGATACGTCTTCTTCTCCGAGGTCAAATCAATCTCCGTCCAAGACCTCCAAACCATCGACGACCTCTGGACAAAACACAGCGACGGGAGGTTCGGCTACAGCGTGCAACGCAAGATATGGCTGAAAGTCAAGAAAGACTTCACGAGATTCTTCATCAAAGTCGAGTGGATGAAGCTTCTCGACACGGAGGTTGTTCAGTATAACTACAGAGCTTTCCCTGATGAGTTTAAGTGGGAGCTTGACGACGAAACGCCGGTAGGACACTTACCGTTGACAAACGCGTTGAGGGGAACGCAGCTTTTGAAATGCGTTTTGAGCCATCCTGCGTTTGAGATTGATGGTGATGATGTTGATGAGGAAGGGGGAGAAGCTGAGAATAGAGGTGTGGGTAAAGCGAAGATGAAAGACACGACAGTGTTTAAAACTGATTACAGTTTCTAACAATGTCTTTTATTTCTGTTTGGTGACCATTTCAATGGGATTATGAATGTGTATGATGAACACGGTGAAATTATTAGTTAATGAATATAAAACCTTATGTCTGTAATGGTTTATGAAATTTATAAAGTTCTGATGATATTCTTAAGACCGTGGAACAAGTTCAAGCTCTAGCTGTCCATTAAAGGTTTGTGTCATCTTTGCTAATTTGAAGAATGAATACAAAAGTTGTGGGTTTTGGCTCTGTTCAAGAAAGCTGCATCTCATTGTGTGAAAATGATTTGAAGGATACGTTGCTGCTTCTGTAGCCTTGTAGTTAATTCTCAATGTAGGCCATACAAGTTACTTGATGTGGTCCTGTGGACATATGCTTTCTGTCATTGCCTGGTTTTAAATGAATAAACGTTTACTTAGGGGTGGCCACAATTAGTTGTTACTCGGTTTGTACTCGCTACTTGATTCGTACTTGGTTTTTAAAGTCGAGTATTCGTTTTGATCAAGTTGGGTATCAAGTCGTTTATTTCAATTACTTGTAAAAGACAAGTACCAAATAATAAAATGATAACAACTAATTGGCTTTGTTAGCTTGTTACTCGTGATTTATAACTTGACTTATTATTTGTTTTTACTTTTGGACAAAAAATCTCTAAATTATAATCATATAACTTTTTAAAGGATACATGAATAAAAAGAAATATATTACAGAAATATTTTAGAGTTTTTTTAATTGTATATTTATCATATATCAACTTAAAACATATGAAAAATAAAGAAATATTCATTATTCAAAAAATTGTTTAGATTAAAATTATAACTAACTGATTTTTTATTAAACTCATACAAGGTTTTAGTAGCCAAAATTAATAAATTATTATTAAATAACTTAAAAATAATTATATAGCTATGTATAAACTAGTTTAGAAATAACAAGTAGTAAAACGGAGCAAGTGCTTGCAAGTATACTATTTTTTAGCAAGTACTTGAAAGTACAAGTACTCGTTTTTAATAAACTAAGTACGAGTCCAAAATTTCATTACACTAACAAGCCCAGCCAAGTATCAAGTAAGCCAAAAATCGCAAGTACTTGGCTTGTGCCCACTCTTACGTTACTCATATGCATAAATATGTAGAATTGTGCATGCCATGATCAGCAAAAAGAAGATCGGAGTTTCAAGTAGCATTCCCAGACCTTAAGAAAAATTTCAAAACTCTAATTCCATTAGCTATATATGATTTGTTGGGATATGTATATTTGTTGGGATATATGCATGTGTATATAAACAGGGGAAATGATTGGCATGTCGATTTTCCTCGGAGAATCGACTCGACTGGTTACCACTTGATATAAAGTAAATAGACGGTTGACAAAAAAAAAAGAAAAAAATGGCATGTCTCAATGATAGCGACTAGTTTCTAGGCACATGGGCAGAGTCATCTTGTGTATTGGTGTGAACCCGCCCTGGTTACTGAAAACCAATAAGCACACACATATAGAAGCTCAGGCTTCACAAAATCATTCAACGTTACATAGAAAACAGAGCTAAGGTTCTAGATATCTCAAATACATATGATGCGCTAATTATAATTGATAGGCATTGTGTTTAGCTAAGCAACTGAGTTCACTGATTCAGAATATCCTTGAGAGAAGCCTGGTGGTTTGGGATGGAGGCCAAAATATCTTGAACATAAGCTGATCAGCACCGAGATTATAGTTTTAAAGTACTTACTTCTCTCTGGTAAAGATAGAATTGGCTCCGGTAAGGTTACACAAATTGCACTATAACTATAAGCAGTGTATTAACGGAAATACTCTAAAGGGTGAGAAGTAAGAGTTGTAGGGTGTGCAATAAACCATCTGGTTAATGAAGCTGTGACATTTGTCACTTATCAACCAGAAAGAGCTCCATGTAGATATGAAACAACACGGAAATGAATTCTCATTGGAAGTAATTTTCAAAGAGGTTCTAGGAAATAAAATAGTAAAAAGATTTAAAAAGAAAAGAAAGGAGTGTAAATATTGGATATACTCATTTTTCAGAAGATCAAAGACACTTGTTATGTTATAATAGCATTTGCCATTTTTTTCTTTAATTTTAAACAATAATTTAAAAATAAAAAGTCTTAATGTTATATATGGTGAGATATTCTTGAGAGTATTTAACCACTAGTGATGTTCTAACTGTCTATTAGCATCCACCAATGTTATTATGTCACTTTCAACAATTTTCAAGGAATATCCAATAATCATAAAAGTAAAGAAGTTGATATTCATTATAATCAACCAAACCAATCTAAGCATTGTCACTAGTTTATTTCTCAAGAAGGTTCTGTCATTAACATTGAAATTCAATTTAGTTAAAAAAAAGAAATTCAATTTAGTTTAATTCCACATACAATGAAATCACATTTTTTGTCAAAATAAATAGACACATCAGGAAAAAAATATACTAAAAATTAATCAGATTCTTTGATAGCTTTCCTTGTATCAAAAATAAAATTAAATAAATTAGGCATGTTCTTAAAAATCTTGTATAAATAAAATCTTACTTTATATTATCAAAACTAGCCTTCTTAGTTAATAAATGGTGTTAGTTAATCTCTTTTAATTTACATTGTCACTAGATTTATTTCTCAAAAAAACCTGATGTCATTAGCATTTCAATCCATTTTTTTTTTACTTTCACATAGAATGAAATTATTATTGCTAAAATAAATAGACACATCAGGACAAAAAATTACTAAAAATTAATCACACGTTGTTAGCTTTCCTTGTATCAATAAATAACTAGGCACATTGTTAAAATTCTTATACCAATAAAAAAACCCCTCTTAAATATTATCAAAACTAGCTTTTAATTAGCCCCCCTGTTTCAAAATGATGCATATTCTAAAAATATATATTTTTGAAAAATATATTTAGATTTTCAAGACACTTTTTATTAACTAATAATGAAAATTATGAATTTCAAAAACATTAATTGCATTCTTGAAATATTAGTTTTAGTTTAAAATCTGGGAAATATAAAATTACAAAAATATGCATTAATAATTAAGTTGTAATATGTTTTTTAATAAGCGTAAAATCTTTAAACATGTACTTATTATTTTGATCAGATGGAGTAATAAATAGATCACTCATTAATACATGGTGTTAGCTAATCTCTTTTAATTTCTGTAATTAATTAATAAACAGTCGACAAAAAAATAAAATAAAAATTAAGAAACCAAAAAGGTTGTTGCAAAAAGGTCTAAGCAACAAACAATCAGAGCGCACTTGCCGAATCCACTGATTCAATCTTCCGTTACTGAACCACTCAGCAAAAGTTGTAGATCTTGGCTTCAATTCCACAAATTCACATCGAGAAACAGAGAAAACAGAGGATCCCTCTGGTTAGGTCAATTCGAGGTTAGTCTGATTTTGATCCAAAGTTTTGATTTTTATAGAGATCTGATTCGTGGGTTTACGATTAATCAATCCCTTTTGCTCAAATTCCACATAAAGTTTGCATCTTTCTTATGATCAGGTTGGCTAGTCAAGATGGTTGAGTGCAGTGTATGTCGTTCAAAGCTGGTTTCTAGGGCTTATGATGATCATAAGATTAGGGTTACTTCGAAACAGAGAGTTCTCAATGTGCTTTTGGTTGTTGGTGATTGCATGCTTGTTGGTCTACAGGTGAGTGAGTGAACCATCTCATTTATGGTTAGAGATGTTTTTGAATCACTTTGAAAAAAGTTATATACTTTTCCTTTTTTTTTTGTTTGTTTGTTTGTTTGCAGCCTATCTTGGTGTACATGTCTAAGGTGGATGGGAAGTTTAACTTCAGTCCTATTAGTGTTAACTTCTTGACAGAGATTGCAAAAGTTTTTTTTGCGATTGTTATGGTTTTGATCCAGGTATATTGACTTAAACGTCTACTACACTCTAGTTTCTAGTACCAGTTGTGTCTGCATTAGAAGATGAAATGCAGTAGAAGTTCATGAACTATGGCTAGTTTTTGATGTTGTTTAACCGGTCATACGAATGTGAAAAGAGATTTCATTAAGTTCTGTTCATAAAGTTGGTTTCTTAATATCCAAATTACTACTCTTTTCTCGAGTCTCTCCCGTTAACAGTCCCTTAGTACTTGAGTGTTTATGTTCAAATTGTAGGCAAGGCACCAAAAAGTTGGAGAGAAGCCTCTTTTGTCTGTTTCAACATTTGTCCAGGTACTTCTTCTTTGTCAATCAAAGATAGTCTAATCTATTGTATAGGTTCTGTATCAGATTATTTTGATACGGTTGATCTCAGATTTGGAAAGCTAGCTGCTTGACATTTTTGTTACATGATCGCTAGGCATAACTCATACACGTATCATTTCTACAGTTCATTGGGTTTTATTTTGAAATGTGGATGTATATATTCTAATGACTTCAAATTTCTAAGTTCATTTGGGTGACTATTTATTAGGCAGTTCGGATTTACATGAGTCTATTTTGCAGGCAGCTCGAAATAATGTGCTTCTTGCGGTTCCAGCCCTGTTGTATGCAATTAATAACTACCTCAAGTTCACAATGCAGGTGCAGCCACTTGTTCTTATCTCATATGTCATACGTAGGTCTATTGTCTGAGGTTTTGGCTTTATGAGAATAGCATTATTCTTACATTGTGCATTGCAGAGGGTTTATTTATATGTCCTTCTAGGCTAATACTATTTGGTTCTATCTTTCATTTGTTCATGTATTTTTAACTTCATACAATACTGAATTTTTGTACTGTGCCAGCTATATTTCAATCCTGCCACTGTGAAGATGCTTAGCAATCTAAAGGTTCTGGTCATTGCTCTTCTGTTGAAGATTGTGATGAAGCGGCGGTTTTCCATCATTCAGGTGAGCTTCAGTTATTCTTATTTATTTTATCTGTATGACTGGTTCTCAGTATAAGACATTATTGTAGTGGAAGATTGTGTATCGCCTTACATTCATTACCTCTTATTCTGGATTGGTAGTGGGAAGCACTTGCTCTGTTGCTGATAGGGATTAGTGTAAATCAGCTGCGTTCTCTTCCTGAAGGTGCTACTGCCATTGGAATTCCTCTTGCTACGGGTGCATACATCTGTACTGTTATCTTTGTAAGTTTCTTCATCTCGTGCTTATATTAAGTTGAAAGTATAAAGTGGTTCCATGCACATAATTTACTCTCTCATACTTTGCTGTTGATGCGTTAAGGAAAATTTATATATCAAGAATAATGCTAGAGGCTAATTTTAATATTCACATGCAGGTTACTGTCCCATCGATGGCATCTGTCTTCAACGAGTATGCTCTGAAGAGTCAGTATGAAACAAGCATTTATCTTCAGGTTAGATAGTTCTGATGCATTTTTTAAATCCTGCATCAGTTAATGATATGCTTGTAGTGACATGGAACCGTTTATGACGGGTTACTTGTAATGTTTTGGAAATGATTTGCTGTGTATTGTCAATGGAATGGAACTAGCCATTTTTTTTCATGTATGTTGCTATCACTTTAGAAGCAAAGAATCTTGGGTTGTTGACTTTGTGTTCTGTTTTCTGATCTAGTTATGGCAAAAGTTCCTCATCTTAGGGTACATAGCTCAGGTTCTTAGTAATGTCAAATTCTAGGATCATAGTCTTCTAAATGTGCTGTCTTCTTCGTTTATCTTTTTTTTTGTATCGTCTAATTGGAATTTTTTGTTTGTTGCAGAACTTATTTCTTTATGGCTATGGTGCGATATTCAACTTTCTTGGAATACTAGCAACTGTTATATACAAAGGTATGTGCATTTATTTTAAAAGTGGCATGGAAGAAAATGATACGTTTTTAAGCACCATAATAACTTTTCAAAATCCTATGAGATAATCTTGAACACTTCATGATGCATTGCTGAGAAATTTATCACTGACAGGTCCTGACAGCTTTGACATCCTACAAGGACATTCTAGGGCAACCGTGTTTCTAATAATGAACAACGCAGCACAAGGGATTCTATCCTCCTTTTTCTTCAAGTATGCAGGTAAAACTGAGACTAGGTTTTGTTAGATTATTTAATTTTATTAATTAGTATGCTTGAGTGTGTATATGCTCTTCTAACAGATCTGGAGATTGTGAATTTTGTTATACATTCTCAAGGGTATTATTTGTTATCTTTGATGCTTTCAGATACAATCTTGAAGAAATATTCATCCACAGTTGCCACAATCTTTACCGGGATAGCATCTGCAGCACTCTTTGGACATGTTATAACCATGAACTTCCTTCTTGGAATTTCTATTGTTTTCATTTCAATGCACCAGGTAAAACCCCATATGAACCATACATATCCCTGGTGAATACACTTAAAATCTCTTTTCTGTGGATCTTATTAACTGTTTCATTTATGTATAGTTCTTTTCACCACTTGCCAAAGTGAAAGATGAGCAACAACAGAACGGGAGCATAGAATTAGGCAATGCAAAGGATGCTCACAGGTTAGTATCAATATAAATACTTGTTTCTCAAATCTTGTTCAGGCATCTTTCAATAACAAGAAAGTCATGTAACATTTACATTCACCGTATTTACACCAATTAACGTCTTTTCCTTGTCTGTTATTTTCTTCAGGGCTAATGACTCATTCATCAACATGGCCGCAGGAGCAAATGAAGAGGTGAAAAAAAAAAAAATTGTGAAGCAAGTTCTTGTACTTGTCCCAAGTTAGATCAACGCTAATGTTTACTGTCTTTTTTGTCACTGTGTGTCTATTCAGGCTACTCACCGCAGTGTCACAGACGACAGAACCCCACTTCTTCCCAGATGAAAAAGTTCATTAAAAGTAGGTCACAAATTCTCACACATCCTTCATCATATTGATTGCCTTTCAAGCTCTAATCATCTATCATCTAGATAGATTCTTACCAAAGAAACCTCTAGAACCAATCTAGGTTGCAGAAAATGTGAATTGCTCCACCAAAACCTGAGTGTTATGAATATGGAAAATCATATACTTTTTGCAAACGTGTTCTCTGCAGGATTTTGGTTCCGAAGAATTCTTTTTGGCCGAGAATATTCTAGAAATGGGTGGGATACTAGCAGGATAGATGGAACCAAACTCTTAATACTCTCAAGAGTCTGTTTTAACTTCGTTCTAAGAACCTCTCATGTCTATAGCTGTGTTGTCTTCAGATAGAGTGAACAAACTTGGTTAAGTGATATATGTATTTTTGATATAATAATATTTGTATTCTTTGGTTATACATATTATAGCATATATTTTTTTTCAGACTAGAAGCATCTCTGAGTAAAAGTGTCTTGGGTGATTCATTGCTCTACAATCTGATGAATACTAACATTGCCAGACTTGTGCAACTGTTGAATTGAATATTTGGTGGTACGAAGAAAACTGAAAAGTGGAGGAGAGAAAAACAAAAAAAGTAACCAAAAATAGAATTATAAGAATTGAACGACTCCAAACAATTGTCAAGCGGCACCAACCAACAAACTACTTATCACCTTAATAAACATACAAGAAGATGAGCCTCAACAAAGACTGAAGAATATATTTTTGTATGAACATTTTTGCATGATATGGCAACACATGAAACTGAAACCAATCTACCATTATAACATAGAAAGATTAAGTTTCCTGGGATGGAACACAGCTGCTGGTGTTGTTGACCTCAACAATGGTTGTATAGCTTTCACCACAATACTCGTGTTCGGCCTAAACTCTGATTCGTATTGCACACACAAGGCTGCAACAGCCGCAAGCTGAAAACACAAGAAAACATTACATGACTGGCTTCAAAAGTGGCTACATATGTTAGATATGGAAGCTTTTTTATTTACCTTTGCAACTGCTTTAGGAGGATACTCTCCATTGAGTTTCGGATCAACACATTGCTTCACTTTGTCTTCAAACAAAAGCACATTACTAGACCGAACATCTCTATGTATCACTCCAGGTTTCACCTTCTCATGTAGGCCTGGGCAAAAAAAAACGGAACCAAACCGAAATACCCAAAACCAGACCGAAATTCTTAAATATCCGAATGGTTCCTATATTTCTATACTCGAAAAACCGAACTGGAACCGAACCGAGAACCGAACGGGTATCCGAATATCCGAAAAAACAAGTTATATTTTTTAAAAATAAGATAAAATGACATCAAATCCACTTGAACCCGTGTTAGATACAAAGAGTAAGTATATTTTTACCACCAGACCACGTTTTATTTATTATGTTATATTATAAATATATATGGTATTTCTATATTAAAATATGATAAATATTTATTATTAACATTTTATTGATTTGAACTCTTGTTGGATTGACTAATATATAAGCGTGTAAACCCTAAACCATTTAAATTAACATATTAACTTATATATTCTGTATATATATATATTTGATTTATATATTAAATGGGTATCCAGAACCGAACCGAAATCTCATAAGTATCTATTGGGTATACGAATGATTTATCCGATATACCCGGAACCGAATGGTTCCTATCCGGAACCGACCCGAATATCCGAATGCCCATGCCTATTCTCATGTAAATACTCAAGTCCCTTAGCTGCATCAACAGCTATCCCAACATGTTGGATCCAATCAAGAGCCAGACCTGGTTGTGCTCCTTGAACTCATTTCCTCCCGAACGGTCATTGGTGCTAGTCAGATTCTCTCGAAGCTCCGGATAGCAGGATCATCAAAAAAAAATATATAACAATAATCGAAATAAATATCTATTGATTCTCTAAATATTCAAGTTAAACTAATTTTTTTTATCTTTAATGTAAAATATAATTTATATGAGTTAAAGATCCAAATAGAACTAGAACCATAATTTATAAATATTTGTCTAACATCCAAACCAAATTCGAGTTTTGTTCTTCTGTCTGACTAAAACTTTACATTCAACATCGTTAAAGCCGACGGAAGCGGCCATAAGGCCCAACTGGAGCCCAAAAGAGGAGAGGTTAATATAAAAAGGACGTTGCGTTGCTTGGACAAAAAGCTAAATCACAGAGAGAGGCGTGGAGATGGGGCGGGGGCTGAAGGTGAAAATGGGGCGGCGACAGACGTTGAAGATAAGGCGGCGCCAGCGGCGGCGGGAGCGGAAGGTGAAGATGGTGAAGATTAGGATTGGAGCGAGAGAGCTTAAGGAGAGGTATGCTCGTGCAATGGCCTTATACAATGAATCAGTGACGAAATCAGAGGTAATTTGTTGTTTTATTTTTTATTTTTTATCTTGTATGGATCCGAATTGTCACTAATATGTTATATAATTTTGCTCTCAGGGGTTCGATATTTGTGTAGGACCAATCTCAGCTAATCCACTGAAAGTTTTCTACTGTGATGATGGTTGTCCTGAGTTACCCATCCTTTATGCCAGGATGGGCATTCACCGTTACAATTTACTCCGGGTTAGTTAGAGCATCCCATCAATGAATAAAATTCATCTTTTCCATTTTTTATTATTATTCTTTTTCTTTTTCTTTTCGATTTTCGATTTTTTTTATAGTGATGAACTTCAGACTAAAAGGGTTCAGTAGAGAGAGAAGAGAGGGTTCATAGGATTTAATTATTTTAATAATTTTTTAATCTTGGAAAACGTGTGAAACTTCATCTAAACTTTTGATGGGTTCTTAGAGCATCCACATCAATGAACCCCTTCTTGAGGTTCATTAAATCAATTTTTTATTATTAAAATTTTTCTGTTTTCTTTTTGATTTTCTTTTTTAACGTGGTGAACCTTAAGAGAGAGGGGTTCACCCGATAGAACTTTAGGAGAGAGGATTTCATAGATTTTTATTATTTTTTTATTTTTTTTTCTTGATTTCCGTGTGAATTCCCTTATCAGCCCTCAATGGGGATGCTGTGTTTGCTTTTTTTTCTTTCTTTCTTTTAATTTTATATATCTATTTATTTGCTTGCTATTTTTTAGGGGAAAAACTTGCAGCTCAGCAGAATGAAGAAATACAACAAGACCAGTGTTACTCATCTTAACCGTTACTACATCACTTTGGAATCTGAGGATCCAGACATCTGTGGTGGTTCTCTCCAAATTTTTCAGACTAGAGTTAATGAAAGAATGTTCCGCGAGTTCGCTCTCTCGTGCACAGTTGCTAGACTTGTAGGTAAAATATATACTTCCATTTCTTATTACCAGTTTCACAACAAGTCATCAATCATATCATCATGTGTCTTTGTATAGGTGCAACCAAAAACACCAACACACATGTCGAGATTAAAGAACGTCCCATCTTGCCTGAGTTGCCTCAAGAGAACCCTTTTGTTGAAGATGGCACCAACCGATTCCGCTTGGTAAATTGATTGCTTCCTTCTTAGTTTTGATTATTATAATTAATTAAACAACTAGTAGTAATTAATGATATATTTTTTTTTTAATTTTCAGCTCAAGGATTCAGAGCTTGAAGACAATGACTGGATCCGTTTGTACTTGGAACTTGCAGTTGCTACAACCAATAGGAGCTTCGAGCTCAAGGATCTCAGTGTGACCAATTTGAAGATTCAGAAAGTGGCTATTGAAAGTAGTAGCCAGAGTCTTGGAGACTATGATGCACTTTTCTACATAAGGTATGAGGACGATTGCGAGGCTCGTGTTGGTAAGGATCTCCATCGCGTTGCTGTTGTCAGGAGAATCTTGGATAACAATTCGCAAGTCTTGAATCTCCTTGGTGTTAATGAGAGCATAAACAAAATTGCTGCCATGGAAGAAGAAGCTGCCTCATCCTCTCTACAAGACTAGTTCCATTTTGATTATCTATATATATATGTGGATCAGAGTATTCTATGCAATCTGTTGAATACTAACATTGCTAGACCTGTGTGTTTTTATTGAATATTTGGTGAATTGTATGAAGAAAACTGAAAAGTAAAGGAGAGAAATAAAAAAAGTAACCAAACAATTGTCAAGCGGCACCAACCAACACCCTACACATAGAAGGAGAGATGAGCCTCAACAAAGTCTCTGAAGAATATATTTTTGTAAGGTATGAATGTATTTGCATGATATGGCCACACATGAAACAGAAACCAATCTCCTATTATAACATAGAAGAATCAAGTTTCCTGGGATGGAACAGCTGCTGGTGTTGTTGTTGACCTCAACAATGGTTGTAGAGCTTTTACCACAATGCTCATGTTTGGCCTAAACTCTGATTCGTATTGCACACACAAGGCTGCAACAGCCGCAAGCTGAAAACACAAGAAAAAGAAGAAAGAAAACCTCTCATAATTATTCAAAAGTGTTTCCACAAGTTAGAGATGAAACCAATAAGAAGCTGTTTTTTTTTTTACCTTTGCAACTGCTTTAGGAGGATACTCTCCTTTGAGTTTGGGATCAACACATTGCTTCACTTTGTCTTCACTCAACCTTGGAGTGGCCCAAGTGACAAGACTTTGCTGACCACGTGGCATCGTGTGATCAACAGGTTTTCTACCAGTCAATAGCTCCAAAAGCACCACACCAAAACTATAAACATCACTCTTCTGAGTCAGCTGACCAGTCATCGCATACTCTGGTGCATGATAACCAAAAGTTCCCAAAACTCTAGTAGAATGAAGACGAGCAGCCATATCAGGACTCTGATTCGACAGATTAAAATCAGCAACCTTGGCTTTAAACCCATCAAACAAAAGCACATTACTAGACCGAACATCTCTATGTATCACTCCAGGTTTCACCTTCTCATGCAAATACTCAAGTCCCTTAGCTGCATCAACAGCTATCCCAACACGTTGGATCCAATCAAGAGCTGGACCTGGCTGAGCTCCTTGGACTCCTTTCCTCCCGTGTAAAACATCATGTAAAGATCCCATCGTAGCAAACTCATAGGCGAGTACACGAAGGTTCCCTTCAACGCAGTAACCAAACAGCTGAACGAAATTCTCATTCCTCAGCTTGGAGACTCTTGAGACTTGAGTCAAGAACTCATTGTTTGATTCAGGCTCAGCTGCATTATCAAGCTTCTTAACCGCCACAGCTTTCCCATCTTTCAAAGTTGCATAGTAAGCTCTTCCGTATGAACCTTCACCGATTAAAGCCTTTGATCCAAAGTTATCAGTCTTTTCTTTCAACTCATCTAATGACAATGCAGGGACGTCGATAGCTGGTGGCTCTTTTAACACATCATCAGCTTGTGGTTTCTTATCCTTCCCTTCAATACAAGAAATAAGATGAATGAATGAGTAAGTACCTTATAACCTATTCATACGGTTTCCATATTAAGTGTCATTTTAACTTTGTGTACACAAACTAAAAAAATAATTAATTTTGTATATTTTCTATATAAAAACACAATTTTCTATCCACCTAACCATATTTCAACCAATAAAAAAATAAATTGTAATATAAAATTAATAAATTTTGTATCGAAAATCGAAAAACACTTATTTTGTAACAAATTTTTTTTTTCTACAACGATATCCCCTATATATTAATTGAGAAACATTTGAAAAGATGTAACCTCAAGTTTGTAATAATTAAAAACTAACCTTGCTTAGTTGTCAATCAATTAGCATACCAATTAAATGACGTGGCAGTTTTAGGTTCAATTGAAATTTGCTAGGGAAAAATAATTAGAGACGCATATAACGCATGTAACATAGTTTATATATATCTATATATATATATATCGCACGCATGTAATGGAAGAAAAGGAAAATATACGATTTGATAAAGATTTGCATATATTAATTATAATAACTTCATTCCTTTTAATTTATGGAAGTGTATATGTAAAATGGAAATTACTTTGTGACCAAGTACATACTTAATGGTAAAGGCAAGAACGTTTATTATATGAATATATCTTTTGATCATTTTGACAAAACAATGAACGATATAAAGATGCCCAATCTATTATTTATAAACGTTTAAAGCTTAAACGTTTACTATATGAACGTTTATTAAATTATTATATGAACGTTTATTATAAACGTTTATTATAATAGCTTATATATAATAATTATTATAAGGCAAGAACGTTTATTATATGAATATATCTTTTGATCATTTTGATCAATAGTTTAACATTTTTATTATAAAAAGATACACTTGATTATAAAATCATATGAGTAAAAAGTATCATTCAATAATAAAAAAAATATATATATATATATTAAACTATATACCATATAAGATTACATACTTATTTTAATTTCAAAAATTTCAATGAATTTTCAAGAACATTTATAAATTATAAACGTATAAAATTTTTCACATTGAAAATTTTTGTTATCAATGATTTAAATATATTAGTTCTTTCTAAAAATTTTCTATTTTTTAAAGATATTAACACAGTCGATAATATGATTATTTTTGGTATATACCATACAAACT